CAAGAGGCCAGCAAGACTGCCAATACCAAAAGTCATGCAAGGAGAACCAGCAAGGAACTTCATGACGGAGGACCCACAAGAGAGCCCAAAGAGACAGAGGATTGCAGAGCCCGATTCAAAGACACCTGAAATGCCATTCCTGAAGGGAAGCGTGAAGCGTGAGCTCTTTGCTACGCCGTGGGAGAAGGATGATGAAGTGGCAAGCCCCAAGAAGCAGATCAAGAGCATTCAGGAGATGTTTCCAGGAGGAGATGAACTGGAAGCTGAGAAGATCTTGCAAGAGGTTGTGAACGACATCAGTGAAGATGAGGAGAATGGAGAAGCAATCAAGGACAGACCTCCAGAGTTGTCTGATGAGGAATTGAAGGTGTTGGACACTGAGGCATGCAAGATCGAAGAAGAGCGTGTTGAGAAGATGGGAGTGCTCAGAAGATGAAAGAGAATGAGACAGAGGAGGAAGGCTCCTATGTCCTGACTTCAAAGATGTTGGTGACCTGGAAGCACCGAGATGAACAAGGAGGTTGGTTCAGGCGAGCTCGACTGGTAGGCCGCCAGTTCAAATGGTCAGTATTTACAGAAGACGCTTTTGCACCAACCTCAGCATCAGTGGTCGTCCGTATGCTGTTGCACCTTCAGATGATTACTGGGTATGCTTTACGCATTTTTGCTGATGGACCAGCCGGCAGATGAGAAAGCCATGATCATCACAGAGAATGGAAAGTATAGATTGAAGAAGAATCTGCCAGGCCAGTGGAATGCAGCTGCCCAAAAATTTTGCCAGGTGGCCAAAGAGTTTGGTTTGGAGCAGGATGCAATGCAGCCAACGATGATGAGGTCATCTACGAGAGTTGAAGGTGGGAACAAGCGAAAGCTCTACCTGACCATCCACGTCGATGATCTGCTGATTGTCGGAGTTGAAGATGAGGTTGAGCGATTCATCAAGTTCATGGAGAGCAAGTCTTGGAGGGTAGAGAAGACGGGGCCATTGTATGCAGGTCCATTCCACTACTTGAAGAGGAGCATGGAGATCGTGGACAAGGGCGTCACCATCAGGCCAGATCAAGAGCACATCAAGGAGTTGGCCAAGGTCACAAATGTGTTGAACAGGAATCCCAGATCGACACCAGGCGATGGTAACTTCACGAAGCTGAAGAAAGATGATGAGGCTATGCCTGCAGCACAGGTCACGTTGTACAGAAGTGCAGTGGGGAAACTCCTCATACATTGCACCAGACAGGCCGGACATACAATTTGTGGCCCAAGGGTTGGCTTCATTGATGCAGAGACCCACAAAGAAAGGATGGCAAGCTATGCAACATGTAAGTTCCTACCTTCTGGGAACTATGGACGAAGGTTTGCTGTTGGAGCATGGGCAAAGGGGCAAGCGCGTGTTCAACACCAACGAGGACATCTATGAATGGAGTATGGATGACAGCAGTCATTTTCTGGAAGTGATGTGTGATGCAGACTATGCTGGTCAACGAGATACACGCCGTTCAGTGAGTTCAGTACAACTGTACTTGAATGGTTGCCTCATGGAAAGCAATGTACGTTGTCAGCGGTCCATCGCATTGTCCTCAGGAGAAAGTGAGTATGTTGCAATGGTGGGGGGCTGCAGTGAAGGTTTATTCCTCAAACACTGTTGGCAGTTTCTTACAGAAGAAGACGTTGATATGGTATGCCGCAGTGATTCATCAGCAGCCAGGTCCCTCGCTGGAAGAGTTGGCGTGGGGAGGACAAGACACATTGCAGCAGGACTCCTATGGCTCCAGCAGAAGGTTGGCGAAAAGGAGTTGAGGGTGACTGGAGTTCCCACTTCAGTCAACACAAGTGACATCGGGACGAAGATCCTCAGCAAGGCCAGGATGAAAGGTCTGAAATTATTGATCAAAATGATCGGTGGAGACGACCAGAAGATTGGCCGTGAAGAGTATGGTGAGATCAAAGAGAAGAGGACATGAAGAAGAACGTAGGAAAGGTGTCGAAAGCCTTGGGAGGAAATGCAAGAGTGGCCATGATCATCGCTATGGCTCTACTGCAGACAAGCCGAGGGCATGTGACAAGGGAGATCAGCGCAACAGATGGCAGCAACAACAGTGCAGGGACAGCAATCAATGCAGAGGACAATGATGAGCTGTGGTGGACGCGTGTGTTCTTTACAGTTGCAACATTGTCAGCTGTCGGAGCCTTGAGCTTGGCTCGGTGGGTATGGAATAAAGTACGACAGTTGATGCAGTGCAAACAGACAAAGGCAGGAGCAACCGCACAGCCATCAGAGATCGAGTGTGAGGCTGGTCCAGAGAAAGCTGAAATGCAATGGAAGATCATACAGCTTGAGGCGAGCTGTGAAGAGCAGCATGAACGGATGAAGGAGATCAAAGAAACAAAGAAGAGAGAGAGACATGTGGATGCAACAATGCCTGGAACACCAAGACAGGAATGTTGATCTGCGTGGTGAACGAGATGAGTTGAGGGAGAACTACATCCAAGTATTGAGAGAAAAAGAGCGATTGGAAGTGGATCCGAGCGAGAAGGACTTGGAGATCGAACGGTTGAAGGAAGATTTGAAGCAGGGCAAAGAGGCCATGACAATGTGGGAAGCAAGCAACAGTGAGCTGAAGCAGGAAGCCATTGCTGCATGTCAGGTGGCGCGAGACCAACTGGAACACACAAGTTTCATGCTGGAAAGACAGGAGTGGACGATGACAACGGCAGGACAGTGCTACCATCACCATTCCTGCAGCAATCTACAAGGGCGATCGACACGAGCTCTACGCCCATGTAGCCGGTGTGTGCAGCCAGCCATACGGGGGGTGATAGGATTTAGTGGCATTCCAATGAACCCATGATCAGGAAAGCACATGACTGGTTGCACACGTGTCACACCGGTTGAACTAGGCTCGAACCGAGAGCGCCAAAAGGGGCGCACTTGTTTTCAGTATATGTAAATCTAAACCCTTAGTTTTTGGAATTTCAATTTGCTTGGCTTCCGAGTTCTTCAATCATTTTGCAATTGTTTGTGAGGTGTCTGCAGAGCTGCCTTCGAATGAACTCTTCAGTCTCATCACATCCAACAATGAAGCTTTAACTCTGGATGGGGTGGTTGATGGCATCCTTTCTTTGAGGCAGGTTGCAAGCCAGATGTAGGGCCCCAACTTGTGTTTAACAACAAGTTCTCTACGCTGAGCTTTCGAAATCTTCAGATTTTATCACTTTAGGTGTTTTTATGCCTCCCATTGGCCACTGTGCAGTTGTATTCTAATCTCAGCAAACATGGCCGTGTTTCTGGTCGTAATTGTTTTGTTTTGTAGATTGAATTGGAGTGAGCCAGGGGATCCAGTGTGCGAGTTCATTCCCTCCTACTGCAGCAGGACTGTTGTTGCACCGCTAAAACAATCTTCAGTGTTTCTATGAATGAGCAGTGAGTGCCAGCTGCTAGGTGCAACTTGTTCAACTGAGTGGCCAGGACCTTCGACGCTATGGCCGTGAAGAGTTAGGGACTCTTGAGGTGGACGACGGAGTACTCATTGACAAGATGAACAATGAACATGTGCTTGAATGTGAGCGAGGAATACTTTTTGCAAATTATTCACCAGGAGCTACAGCATGATGTTCAACAGAAGACGCTGGAACAATTGCAATGCTTGCAGCAGAGCTTGGCAGAGGTTCAAATTCTTCACCACATTGCAAAGGGTTCCAAGTCTTGAAACTCGTTTTGTACAAGCTTGCATCGCTATTGGCACGCTCTAGGAGCTTGCGTGCATAAGTGCTCTTGTGGAGCACGATGCTACCGCTGAGGAAGGCAGACCAAAAAGGATCAAACGGGACTTCTAGCTTTTGGCATAGATGCATTTTTGACCAAGCAGGCGTGCCATGGGTTGAATGGGAAGCAGACATCAAGAGCTTGAAAGATGTAGCAACTGAGCTTGAGTTGAGGCCCCAGTGCACTGTAGTTCATAGCACCTATTTATTCTCTCAAGAGCCCAAGAGCTAACAACTCTTCATGTTGCACCAATTGCAAGCGTGAAACGTTTCGAGCCGCAAAGGTATCGATGGCGCATGCTGAGTTGCTACAGCTCTCACACTGTGTGTGTAAACCTTGCATAAGATGATTGCATGGGACGACATTCATAATTCACCGTCTGAAGCTACAGCCGTGGATAGAAGTGGATAGGATGGGTGGGATCACCTGTTTGTGCTTGGGAATTGAGCCGTCGCTCGGAGCCTTGTCCCTCCAAATTCATTCCCCAAGCGGTTCCTGATTGCTGTTACTTTCTGTTTACTGCATATAAGTGTGTCTGTCCTTCGGTCGGCTGTGTCTGCCCCTCCCTGGAACAGCAATCCGTTACAAATGTCCAAGTTCTGGATAGCTGTGTCTACATGTTGTGTTACTTGCCCTTCTTGTGTTTCCCTTGCCTGCAGCAGCAATTCTTGGCATTTGTCTCCTGCTCCTTGGGCCGACTTGATTCGAAGTCCAAGGACCCCACATCGGACAACCCAAATCGGACAAAGCTGAGGATGAGGGAGCAGCGAGGAACCAAAAACAGAAGGACCCAGGTATATAAATCAATACATCATTGCATACATAAGTTACAGTCACAGAAGAATGTAAATATGTACATGTGCATGTACAACATTATGTTCCTTCGGCGTTGCTAGGAGACTTTCCACACATTTGTGCAAGCATATGAGGTCGCTGAGGCTTGCGTCCGCGGTCAGAACAGCGAAGCATCTATGAGCGCTCAGCTTTAAGCGCTCGGCTTTGCATGATAGTGCTTGTGCTGCCTTGCTAGGGTGCCAAGTGTGCTGCTTTCTAGAATCCTGATAGTGTGCTGTCAGGAACTGGCAAAGTCAGTCTCTGACAAGTGCCGAATTATCGAAAAGTACAGTCCGAAGAGTCGTCACATCAAAGCGTCAAAAGGTGTTGTGACAGGCTTCTTGTACTATCTCAGAAGTAGCGATGCACTTGATCTCAGGGTCCCTGAGCGTGTCCTTGGCAGGCGCTGCTGCAGAGCATGAGTTCGTCTCTGGACTCGGAGGAGTGTTTTTTGGCTTTAGAGCTTAGAGCTTTGTTCATTTTTCATGTTTGCTCAATTGTTTTGGAGGATTTGCGGGTCCAACTTGCGGAGGGCTTAGTGCAGTTGTGCTTCTGAGGGTCCAACTCCAATGCAACTTTTTGTGCCACAACTTCAGTCCTACTGATGTAGCAAGGTTTTCCCTCCACTTGAGGCCATGGCAGCATATGGTGCCCCGATTGGCAGACCTCTGCGCTTTCAGCTCGCAACTCCACAGAAAACGAAATGCCCGCTCCTCCGGCTGAGTTAAGGCAGAAATCAGGTGATATACTTGATATCACATTGTGTGCTTGGATTGTGAGCCAGGAAAGTGGTGACGACCTTCCCCTGGGATGGTGAAATCAAGGTGAAGCCATGCCCTCAGAAAATTTTGGAGCACCCTTAGTGTTTCACAGATGCTTGGATAAATTATAAAGCATTTACAAGGTCTGATCTGGAGTACTTCGTGCTGCACTTTGACCGCTGTGCATGCCACCTCAGAGTGCTAGTCCTCTACCGAACATGTGTACAGTGTGCTGGAAGACTGAAATCCCAGTGGCTAAGGTGAGGCTGCAAATGGAACACTCAGCCACCCTTTTTGGAAGAGGTCATATCACATCATATCATTTCTCAAGATTGTTTATGCTTGACATACATGCAGGCTCGGCGGCTGAGCGCAATGCATCACGCCGCCTCAGCAGTGTGGAAGGCTGTACGAATGGCATCCATCGTCTCTGAAAATTACACGTTTTTCCCAAACTGCTTGGCCCGTTCCAGTGTGTAAGAGACAGGATAAGTTAAACCGCAGTAGCTTGCAGCCTGCTAAGCACCCGACATGTTCCAGACTCAGCTCCACTCAGTTCACAAGTTGTGCGACTGGGAGGATTCAAGCACCCAGCTCTAAGTGATGAAGTGTGTGCAGAAGAAGTGATCTCTGCATCACTTCCTGTCTCAGAGGCCTGTGACTCTCCGATGTTGAAATACCAATTCTCATACAGAAGTAAAGACATTTTGCATTCCGGTATATGATACGGTTGTTGGGCACCGATGGACTGCACAGATCAAGGCTTCAATTCTATTGTAGGCTAAGAAGCTCAGGTTGGAGGAAGGCTTTGTTAACCCAGCGACAGGTTTGTGCTCACATTGATCAACTGCAGACATGCTTCCGGATGTTCAAGAGGTTTGTTGCTGATGATGATGGTTACAGAAAAGTGGCATGGTTCATTGGTGTTGATGGCTGATGGGGATGGTGGAGGACTCCGAGGATTTTGCCACCAGGCAGCTTCTTTCTAAAGACGACACCTTTTGTGGCATGTCTTTGCCCAAATCACTACTGAGAAAGTTTCTCCCCCATCCTGAACTTGCTAACTGGTGAAACGTGCTTTAGTCTCGTCTGGATACCTCAAATGGCCAATGCTTAAGTTTAAGTTGTGGCTGCTTGCCGCTGAAGCCTGCTTGGCCTTACCAGTCAGTTGTCCTGTACTCAATGCAACAAAGAGTCGAAGTCTCAGCATAGGCTCGAAGCTTCCAAACAGCATGTCCTATTTGGAAGAATGAAAAAAGCTTTCGAACCCCTTTCGTACCGACCTAGAAGACTTCAAGAGCTTTGATGGAAACGCAACATGCATTGTGATATATCGTCATGCATCGTGCTTGTTTCATGTATAATTGGATGGTCTGGCGGGAGGGATTTGTTGAGCGAACACAGCAAAAACCTTTTGCAACAGTTGGTGATACTGTAGCTAATATAGGAAGGCTGAGTATAGAAAATATTTGGCACACAAAACGGCCTTGCAGCGCATCATTAACCTGTACCCTTGGTCAATTCCAGCTAGGAAGGTCATCTAGTCCATCAACTGATGGTCATCGTAGTTACGGTGAGAGAGTCAGACCAGCTTTCTGTATGGCAGGAGTTGGCTCCCAAACGTCAGCCGCTAATGGCTCGACCGCCGAGACAATGAACATTTGCTGCATCCACCACTTCAGGAAGACCCTGTAGCTGCTAGCTCCTTTATTTATGGGTGTTCTGGAAGGTGGCTCAGGCCGACTGGATGTATATATGTTAAGCTGTTTTCTCCTGTTTGCTGCTTGGGCTTGATCATCCTGATCGTTTGTTCTTTCAGTCCAACTCTCAGTGAATTGTTCTTTTCCTTCTTTGCCCAGCTGCAGGGATCCCGACTTGTCCTTTCTCCTCGACTCAAGCCTTGCTGCATGGATGCCTGCCACTTCCTGTTCTCACAGCCTCGCCCAAGGCATTGTTTTCCTCTCCAAACGGTTCACGGTTCTGACTGAAGTTGGACTGACACGAGGATACTCTCCTTCGTGTGTGAGTTTCCTGGTCAGCGTCACTTTGGTCAGGCATTAGTGTATGTCTGGGTCCTGAGCTGAGGCATCAAAAGCCGAAAAACAGTTCACTGTTGTGTTCTCCCTTAGGAAAAGGAGGCTGGCCATGATCAGTGGCCGCTGGCGAACGCTTTGTCCTTTTGTTGTCCTTCTGGTGTTGTTCGTGCTTTGAAGGTCTTGTCTGGGTCTTGTCCTTCTGTGTCTGTGGCAAGGGCCACATTGTGCTCCTGGTGTCCTCGTGTTGTCCTTGTACGTTATTCGGGGGCGTTGTCCTTCTGTGGCCGCACTTGCCCATGCTCTATAAACTTCTCTCAAGCAGATCATGGCGCAGCCTCATGTTGTGGTGAATAGTGCACTGGGTTCTTGGTTCTCGTGTCCCGGCACGGATGTTTGTCGTGGCAGCAGGGGCTCATCCTCTATAAACATCTTCCTGATGCGTGTGGCTGGTCCTAAGTCCGGCCCAGGGTCCTTTGCTTTATGCAGCGGCAACCACAAGTTGCTTACACGATTTGCTTTCGCGGTGGCAAATGTTGCAGCAAAGTCGGGTGCTTGCAGCAGAGTCGGGAACTTTCGTGCGCAGCACGCTGATGAGTTCCACCTTTGTATGAATTCATTCAATTGAAAGGAACAGCGTTGCTCAAATCTGTTTGCACACTGATCAACAGATAGCCCGCGCTCTCCCTTTCTCTCTCTCTCTCTCTCGCGGTTTGTACCTGTGTATTCTCTCTGCTTAGGCACCCACGGAGGTTTTGCTTTAGTGACTTTAGTGTAAGAGCTGCACACAACCAAAGAATTCTCATTCGGAGAGGGGACCAGAGGTAACCCTTTTCGGCTAGTGCCACACCAGAGAGGTGGAGATGGCAGAAAGCGACGTTAGGAGAGGAGGTTTCTTCGGGAAACATTTTCCCTCGAACTAGATTGGTTAAGGGCGTTGTGAGGCACGCAGAAAACTCTCCGAAACACTTTCGCCAAGATAGTGGCATAGCTCGTCAACCGTCGTGACAGAAACCATGCCACATGAGGAGGCAGATACACTGAAGTTGTTGACGAATATACACGCACAGAAATAGAGGTAGACACAGACACAGCGTCCTCAACAGTGCCTGTGACGCCTTGCTTTTTGGCAAAGACAGCTGTGGCTTCGAAAATTGTAGCCATGGACCAGGAGGGTGCGACAGGTTGCTTTGCACACTAGGTGTATTTCCCCAAATAGTGCTCCGCACTAAGGGGTTCTTACGTAAGAGTTAAGGGCCGGGTTTAGATCAGGGTTCGCGCGTGTGGTTGCGGCATTTTGCATGGGCCGGCTCGCACAAAAGTTACTTTTTGAATTCCTCATGTCCATTTCGACTGCGCAGGCTCGCATAAAGTGGGTGTCGCGGTTTTCGCGCTTCCGGGACAAAGCTCTCGTGCAGGTGCCGTGCTCGTTTTCGGACATGAAGTGCATTTTGCCTGGCAGGCGCAAGGAATTCGACACATTGGAGCCTCGAAAAGGTCATTTTACGTGGCAGGTGCAAGGAATCGGAGACTTTGCAAATTTCGTGGCAGGCGCAGTGTTTTGTGGACGTTGCAAAAACGTTGGCAGGCGTGTGTCATTCGCAGGACTGCGTTTCACGCGGCAGGCGCAGGGAATCCGCACCATGGATGCGATATTTTGAGGTGAAACGGCTGAATTCGTGAGAGGGGTCGCATTTTTGGAATTTGAACTTGAGGATGATTTTGCGTGGGCAGTGCAGCATTGCGTATGACCTGCAGGCATGATTTCGTGGCAGGCACTGCATTTCTGAAACGCATTTCAAAATTTGCGAAAGCCTCGTGCAATTTGCTCATTTTGGATCTCCGATGTGCAGAGTTCGTGGCAGGCGCAGCACTTTGTGAATCTCGATGTGCAGATTTCGTGGCAGGCGCAGCACTTTGTGAATCTCAATGTGCAGATTGCGTGGCAGGCGCAGCACTTTGTGAATCTCGATGTGCAGATTTCGTGGCAGGCGCAGCGCTGTGTGAATCTAGATGTGCAGATTTCGTGGCAGGCGCAGCACTTGCTGAGTCTGGAAGTGCAGATTTCGTGGCAGGTGCAGCACTTTGTGAATCTCGATGTGCAGATTTCGTAGCAGGCACAGCACTTTGTGAATCTCAATGTGCAGATTTCGTGGCAGGCGCAGTACTTTGTGAACGCCCCGCCAGTGGCGTCAAAATAGCGTCAGGAAGCGAGGGTATTTTTTTGCCTACCTCAAACGGCAACCCTGTGTGGGTGAAGGCTTTGCTCAAACATGGAACCAAATACCTGGCCCCCTTATTGTTGACTCTTTTGGAGGCGCGTGCCGCCAATCCGATTTCGCGCGGCGGCCGGGTTCTTTGGTGCCACGTGGATGCCGAGTATGATGCATGGCTTGCGGCCTGATATCCTCCACAAGCTGACAGTCTACTCTCCGGCTTCGTCGCATCCTTCATCTCGTCCCATGCGGTTGCGCTGGGGCGGCCCCTCGCATCGGAGTCGCGCGCACTCGCAGCTTGCCACTGCATGCGCACGCGGAAAACATGCGCGTCTGCAGTCGTAGCTTTTTGTTTTACAACGACCTTCAAGCCATACTACTCTAGCATTTTTGGCACTACGTTGGTCGCACTCTCCTCCTTACAAACTCACGCCTGGTCCCTCTGGTCTTTCACATGCTTCCGCATCTGCTGCTCTCATCTGTGCACTCTCACACTTGTGCTCTTGTATGTATCCTCTCATATTTGTGCTCTCCTCTGTGTGCTCCTTCTTTCCTTCCACGTGATGCCATGTTCCATCTGTTCCTCTTTACACTATTTGGGGTCCCTTGCCGGTGTTTTTTGTTTTAACCATACCAAGATTGCTGATGTTGATAGATCTTCTGTCCTGCTAACTTCATTGTATCATTGTGCTTAGCACTTGCAGAACAAGTGCGGGAGAGAACACCTTGATAAATGTTTCATTGATTTTTCCTTCCTTTGTCAGTTTTCAGCTTTGAAGCCGATCAGGCTCAAATGCCTGGGAGCCGCTGGTCTGCACTAACTTCGTACAAGGACATGGGACTTTGCCTTGCTCGTGTTTGTTCTTCGCGTGATTGGGGTTTAACCCTTACTATAGAGTGTACCGAGCCAGTGAGTTGATGTTGCGGCATTTCGAGAATGGCTCCAAATACGTGCCGCCAACGAGTGTATCGAAATCTGAGTGCTATCCACTCAGATCAAACCCGTTTTGATCAAACATGGTACAACTACTGTAGTTACAACGCATGCTTGGAAGAACAAGACGGCGGTGAGGGCCACCATAGATTAGCATAATCCTACCTTCAACCTTGATTTCTCAGAGTTTTTCATGCTGGCCCATACTCTGTTTCAAACAGGGTTGCTGGCTCTAAGGAACTCTAATCTTCAAGCCAGACCATCCACTTGCTGCCGGGTGCTGCTACAGATTCCATCTTGACATGGAGGCTTTGCAAACCTCATGTGCGAGAGCATTGATCAAGTATGCACACTTCCTTGCGTCAAAGGCGGCGGGATCATGCAACTCTCAGACTGCGCTGTGTGAGGCGGGGTACGATTTTCGCTGGTGGATTTCATTGCCACAAACATTCAACATAATGCAAACCCAACCTGAATGGTTCGCTCAATATCAGAAAGGTCAGCAAGGCACTTCTCCCGAGTCTAGCTGGGTGAGGTCAGATGCAGAGACAAGGAAGAGTAGAAACAATTTTAATCAGAATTCCAGCCAGTTAGTGCGTAGATCATAGTCCGTCAGGCTAGCTACGGCTAGTTGTTATGTCAAGTCATTGATCTCGGTGCCTTGGTTTCCCACTTCGTTCGTACCATGAGTAAATTCATCAGTCCACCGGTCACCCTGGGTGGGTGACTGTCACTGACGGTGGGAATGAAGTATATACAGGAATCGCCAAATGATTCATCATGATGCCATGAGGACCTAAAGATTGATTTCTGTGTCGAGTGGCCTCCTCCTCAACCAGCAGTAAGACTTGAAGATGATCGCCTACTTGAGGCCGCAATGAGTTTAACTGCATGGGATTAATCATGATGAATTATATACTCTTTTCGAAAGCTGCACATATTAGTTTTAAAGAGTTTCCCAATGTTCTTTGCTCACTGCCTTCGGTTGAAATTCAACTTTGTGAAGATCAGCTTCTCTGTCGCCGTGGAGCTTAATGCCAGCAATGAGCGCATTTTGCTGGAAGCCGGTCCTGAAGAAGGTCCCGAACTAGCTCTTCTGACACATGCAGCAAGCTGAAAAGGTTCTTGAGATTTTATGAACATTCATGAATATATGGCTTGAAAGGTGGTGGAGAGGTGGTGAAAGCATGGCACCTTCTACAAGCTAGCAAGCGCCTGTTTTGGCAGCTGGAGTATGGGAATCTTACTCATCAAGAGGTGCCCCGGCGGAGAATAAGTATCGAGGATTTTGAGGCCATGTAGCACTATAGTGCTGTTGTGTAATGAGCATTTCTGAGGTGAAGGATAATGACGATGGAACAGGTACATCCATGGGTGACCAGGCTGCCGAAACTTTGCAAGCTTCATTGAGCTTACACCTAAATAGATTGCTTCAGGGCTTATATATCTCCCACTTTTAACATGCCAGCCTTGGGAGGTGTACTGTGCGTACGCAAAGTATGGGCAGGCCAAGACCCAGTCAAACCAAGAAACAAACAAACCTGAGGACAAAATTAATGACCAGCTGGAGCGTATTGTCAAGTTTCAACAGATTGTGCTCCAATTAAACTGACTGGACTTGCGTGAGGGTTCAATCGCAGGAGGCCCGAGGGCAGCCTTGCAATGACCACAGAAGCTTTGAAGTGGATCTTTGCACAGAGATTGGCAATTGTCCAGATGGTCAACAACTGCCTTGCGGCATGCCCCTTGGCACACTCTCAACTTTGCGTTCTTTGAACTTCCCTTTCAAGTGGACAAGGACATGTATGGTTATGGCATGCAGAGTTTTTGCCAATACCCACAGAAAAGCGCTTGAACTAAGAGGGTGCTGAAGCAGAAAGGAATTGAAGCTTACATATTGCGTTGCTCAAGTTGCTCACCTTCTCATAGCCAAAAACAAACGCAGCATGAACGGAATCTATAACTTGAGCTTGCTTGTCAAGTGTGTTCTGGCTGGTGAACATTTCATACCTGGTGGCGTCATTTTCAACACTTACATGACATGCAGCGCGCCCTCAATTATTTGTGTATTCATGCAGCTTTCACACATGTGCTGCTTTGTGGTTTGTGGTTATGCCTTGCATGGGCTCTGCACTTCTTTTAGCCATATACAGTACTTTTGTTCTTTTCATTTTACTTGCACCAGTCTTGCAGAAAGTGTGATGTCTTTGTGCACAGTTGGGGACAGCGAATTGCATACTATAGATTGTATGCCTGGTCATTGGCGTGGCATTTGCCTCATACTTCTTGATGTGTGTTTATCCTTATACTTGCCGAACAATCCAAATACTGAATGGATGGCCTGCAGATATGGACATCCTCCACGCTGTACCATCCATGAGTCAAGCCGCACTACCTTGAATTTTGACGGGCATCAGACAGTCGCACAAGCATCTAATTTGGTGTGGGGGTGCTTGGAGGTTTCTTGCACCTGAACACTTCATCAGTGGGGACTGAATGCTCGGTCCGAGGATTCTAAATGTTGTTTTTCCTCAAGGGCTGGCCATCAGCGAAGGGGTTCACAGCCTGCAGACGACCATAGTTCGATATACACGCCCTTGTGATCCTCCACAGCTTCTAAATTCCTTGAGGCAGGGTGCAGTACATTTGAGACATGCATCGTTTTTGTGTTTGACTAGCATCCTGAACGAGTGCAGGCTCAGCAACGATGGCCGCACGCTCTTCTTCTCGTGGTCATTGCCTGCTTTGGTGGCCGTATCCCAGTTGCATGTTTGACTCACCAACAAATACAGCAAATCATAAACTTGCCTCAGACAAAGCACAAAGAGCAGCACTTGTTTCCGGCATAGAACAACAGCTATCTGGGGAGGTGAAACATCATGGACAAGCCATAAAAAGGGATATCTAATAAGACCGTCCAAAAATGTGGCCCTTGAAAACAGGACTTGGTGGCTGAGGCTGCACGGTTGACAGTGCTGGGGATGACCAAGTCGGCATTTATTTTCCAAAAAGAATACAAACATACATACATACATGCATGCATGGCTCAAGCCGTCCAGCTGATCAAGCCTGCTGCCCCAAAAGTCAGGCTCGTGCGGCAGAACATAGTTCAGGAGTTTGTGCACCAGGACGGCCCATCCCGCTACAGCACATTCTTTGCTCGCTATCTCCGACTTCCTCAACGACACTCTTGAGGACCTCTCCGGCAACTGGCAATTTGCTCGCCTGGCCACATCTCTGGACTCTACCTGGTGATTGGTGCTCCAACTAACTCACCAAACAGGGCCAGATCTTGATCGGAGCCACCCAGCTTGCCTTTCTCTTAACCTACACCAAGGCCACTGAGGGCCCTTTCATCATTTACGATGACGACCAGCAAAGCCTCCTCTTGGTGCCGCAGCTATCTGGCTTGCAGTCATATCTCTTGCAAAAGCTGGATATGGCAGGACAAGCTCCAGGCAGGCACAAGGTGTAGAAGATGTGGAACCTGGTGGCCAACCATGCAGCACATCCACTGGAAAAGGCAAAGGACAAGGACATGGGGGAAAGAGCACTATGAACACCCAGACTACATCATGGCCGCGAAAGACATACCAAGAGGCATTGATGGATACGCCTCCAGGACTGTCACGACCCAAGCCACTGCGCAGGCAAAAGGATCAACAGACAGCAGCAGAGCTTCTCACGGCTACGGCTACATGGGACGTCATACCATCTCCAAAACGGAGCAATATCTACTACAAGAACATCCTTGGGCGGCTCAAGGCAGGGGAGCCAATCTTCAGGCTGTCATCAAGCCTGGTACCCACCAAACCAGGACAAACATGGAAAAAGGGCAAACCAGCATTCTGGGAGCAACTCAGGGCGAGATTTCAGCTAGCCAAAAGCACCCTGCCCACAAAACCAAGGGCCCGGTTCATGGCTTCATGCAGGCTGTGCGTGATGTGCGCAAGCATTGGGTCGGACCCCCGACATGGGGACGGTTCCTAGACACATGCCGCCATTGGCGCAAGCGCCGGGACCCCCATGCAGCCGACCTCATGATCCAAACGATGCACCATCAACTACAAGAAGCGCAACAATTGGCCAATGATGAAAGCATCGAACCCTCAAGAGCAGCGAGCTTGGGAACGGCCGTATAGGCAAATCCCAATGCCAGACAGGATGAATCAAAGGCCAGCAGATTGGGGCAACCTCTGGCACGTCCGAGAGGACAACCAGCCCCACCCACGAACCAGCCTACAACAAGAGGCAAGAGCCCAAGCTCAAGCTTTGGAACCTTTGACAGTTGGACAACTCTGCAGAGTACTCAAAGGCTTGTCTGACAAAGCCAATGGACCAGATGCTGTCTCCACTCAGTTGCTGCGGAGTGCACCACCGCTGGCTCTGGCACCATTGCTTCAACTTTTCCACACCATGGAAGCACAAGCGGAGATGCAGATGCATATGGTAGTGATGCTCCCCTATCACCCTCACATCAGTCCTCTGGCGCACTTGGTGCAGACTCCACAAACCACTTCTTGAATGGCGACAGGAATTGCCGGCCACCATGGATCACGACCGGGCCAGGCCAAGGGCAAACGTACTCCACGTTGCCTTAGAGCGCCTTCTACGTCAAGAAGTCCATAAAGCCAGAGGATATCACGGAGTCACAGTGTTGATGGACATGTCCACCTTCTACGACACGATCCCAGTTCTTGCGCCGGCTCTGATACCCTGGAAGCAGAAGCGTGAAAATGTTCATCTCTCGAGTTGGGTTGATGATGTTGGGTTCGATACGGCAGGATCCACTCCCATGCAAGTTGCGCAAACAGCTGTTGAGGCCTACAGAGATCTCCACAACAAGCTCGTTGGCCTTGGACTCCGGGTAAATCCGAAGAAGACGGCTTTCATTGCAACGGACAAAGCCACAGACCGTGCACTACGGGAGCTGTTGACACCACATGAACCACCCGTGGCTTCTGTCGCGCGAGACCTGGGTGTGGATCATCAAGCTGCAAGAAGAAGACGCATCCCTGTCCTACGTCAAAGGTTCGCCAAGGCCAAACAAAGAAGGCTCAAGCTGCTGCGAACTTTGAAGATTCCTTCACTCCGTGTCAGGCTGAGACTACACAAAGGGGGCATTCAACCGGTGGCATTGCGGGGAATCGAAGGCCAGGGCTTAGCGGCCAGATATCGAACGGCCCTCAGACAAGCCATGGCCGCCAATCTAGGCCATCACACTGGAGGAATGCTGGATGCCACCTATGACGCCCACAGCCACAAGTACATAGATCCAGCGGATCAGATTGTGGTGCACCACATAAAGGCCCTACGCACATTGTATCACACATGGCCAACCGAGCAAGTAGCACACCTGGAGCAAGCGTGGCACCAGCTCCATCAGCAAGTGCAAGCCAAACAACACCCGTGGTACATTGTCAAAACACCAATGGCAGCCACCATCGTCTACATGACTGAGTGGAAGTGGTGTGTCGAAGACCTCCACATGGACACGGACAGCTACGCCACTGCTTCTGGAAAACGAGCTCTCCATACGAGATCCATGGTGGAAGCTTGAGAAGATCCTGCTCCAAGAGGCACGAAGTCAGCGAATCAACAGACTGGCCCAAAGACTCCATCACCAGCACCTCATCGCTGGGCTGGACTGGCATGTTTACCATCAACAAATCAAGAAGCTGCCAGCAGAACACAAGACACATCTCAAGACCTGGGTGCAAGGAGCAGTGCAGTTCAGAGAGAACGGACAACCCAAGCAGTGCCAAAGCGCATCCTTTGGTTGTGTAAGTGGCACCAAGGCCAGGTGCACAAACCCAAAGGCATGGCGCATGGCAGGACCTGCAGAGATTCTGGCACCCCATCAGCATCAAGGATGGGCGTGTACACTAGATGCCACTCCTTCCACTTATGACCAACGCAGCCAGCTGTGGATCTTTGGCCTCTGTGTCCATACCATGAGCTTGAGACAACTTTAACGATTTGGAGCAATCGCAGGCATTCCAAGCAGCCCACAAAACAAGATGCGAGCACTGCTGGCAGGTCTTGTGTCCCTTACCAAGCACACCAACACCCAAGTCAAGGTCATTGTGCAAGTAGTGGCTGTATGGGAAGCCTGGACACAAGCCAGACATAGACAGGCCTAGTTGGACCTTTTTGAAGGCCTCGCAGAGCAAGACATGAACCGGGCCACAGTCCTGTATGTCAGCAGAAATGCACGAACCCCGGACGCCCCAGGCAGTGAGCCACATCATTGGTAGCCTGGGAGAGAGCCAATGATGACAGAAGGGCCACTGAATGGCAAAAAGTCTTGGATCAGGACAACACTGAGATCTACCAGCACGGTGCGGCCAGGCTTAGCCAAGGACCACTACATACACCAGAAGGCGCCCAGACACCAAGGAAAGCAAACCAAACAGCGCAAGAAGCAGCTCGTCCAGCAATGCCAGAAGCCATGGCAGGCTCCAAACCACAGATGGGAGCCCCATCGAAGTGGGTTTCACTGCAGTGCCTGCGGACTGCGCGCCCACTAAGCCCTGACGGTCTCCACCATTGAAGAGAGACTTCTGCAGCCCTGCCCACTGCTGCAGCTGGAAGAAGAATATCCTGACCAAAACAGCCCGCGTAAACCACTACCCAAAAAGCTCACAAGGGCACAGGTGATTGCGCAACTGTTAAACCAGCAACAGACCAACCCTCCAGGACCAGAGCAACATGCCCTCGAAGAAACCAAAATTTATTTACGTTGTGGCAAATGTGGCACTAGTCTCCACAACAAACGAGGCAGCCTTTCAGGCTTTTGTCCAAGGCCAGTGCATCGATCAGGCCTACAATCAACCACATGCAGGCAATGCCAGCCGCATTTTGTGGCAGCGCGGTGAAAAGGTGCGCTGTAAAAACTGCCGCGTCCAAGTCCAGTTAGATGCCAAGCAGAGACCAATAGTCACCGGAGCGCTCCAGAAGACTTGCAAAGGATCCGCCATCAGGCGCTCACCACCTTCGGCTGAGCTTTTCAGGCGGCAAACAGCAAAGTCCAGGTGGCCAACAATGCTGTTGCGGCCTACAGAGATCTCCGCCAAAGGTTAGTTGGATTGGGCTTGAGAGTCAATCCAAAGAAAACAGCCTTCATCGCCACCGACAAAGCCACTGACAAGGCACTCAAAGAACTTCTCAGAGAGGACGAACCTCCAGTTGCCACAGTGATGAGAGACGTTGGAGTGGATCATCAAGCAGCCAGGCAGGATCCCAGTCATGAAACAGAGGATCTCCAAAGCCCATCGCAGGAAGCTCAAGCTCCGCAACCTGAAACTGCCAGCACTCAAACTACGACTACGACATCACAGAGGCGGCGTTCAACCAGTTGCATTGTGGGGAATCGAAGGGCAAGGATTGGCTCTAAGATATCGCACTGCCCTCAGGCACGCGCTGGCCAAGCAGCTTGGGCACAACGCCAGGGGCCTCTTGGATAGTCTATGACCTGCGCAGCAACCGGTACATAGATCCAGTAGACCAAGTGGTCATCCATCACATCCGGGCCATCCCACAGATTGGCCCAGGCCTGGCCACCAGACCAACTGCCTCTACGTGGAGCAAGATACGGGGGCCAATTGCAAGCGGCAATAGTGTACCTCCAAGAGTGGCAGATCTACTGCGTTGGACCAGACCAGAAACACTAGAAAGCACCCTCACTCTGCAGGACACATGGTGGAAGCTGGAGCCCTATCTGCAACGTTCCTGCCACACCCAAGCACATCATT